GTACATGCAAAGATCGCGTGGGCGGGGACCTGGGGGGTGGGGTGGGGAAGAGGGACACGAGTGAGAACTCTGACCCTGAGGAGAAAGGGTGAATCTCAAGGGGAAGGGTCACCGGTCGAAGAGTGAGCTGACGGCCTGAAGGGTGTGTTGGAGTCCGGAGAGAGGGTTTGGCGGTCGTATCTGGGGTTGAGCTTTTTGACCTGCAAAGTGTGTGGATTTGTGTGTGCCATGCTTGTGCATATTATCCGGGTGCGGATTTAGAGATCACATACGCGATGTGTTTCTGCCCAGGATTCTGAATGCTGAGGCGCGCCCGCCCCGGCTCCTCGCGACAGATGCCCCGGTGGGGCTCTCAGCAGGGGCACGAGAAAGAAACACCGGCCCCGCATCTCCCGGGCGGTGCAGGCACAAACCCGTCAGGCAGCAAGTGCTCCAGGGGCTTGCCGGCATGGGCCGTAGGGGAGCGCCAAATGGCTACCAAGCGCTTCCTGCCAGCCTTTCTAGACCCTGCAGTACAGGCAGCACCCGGCGTTCTTCACCTTCCCCCGCGGAGACGTCACTCTAGCTACACCTCTCCGCCAGCAGGAGCGCCCAGGCGGTGTGGGTGGCGGCAGGGTGTGCAAACATCAGGCGTGGGCGGTCTGGCAGCGCCAGGAGTTTGCACGGAGGTGCAGCGGAGCGTGTGTGTGTGCGCCTGGCTGGGAAGGAAGGGGAGCCAGCTCTTGGCCCCGGAGTGGCTATTTTTAGCCGGGCTATCTGATTGTTACCGGTGTGCATGCAGCCGGGTGTCTCCCGGGCTCCTTGAAGCCCGGCGGGCTGAGAGGTGGGAGGTCCTTGCTGATGCCTTCTTCCTGGTGTTGGTTTGGTGTCTGTGGGCGGGAGCTCGCCAGGGGTAGCCTTAAAGGTGCGAGGGCAGCCCTACTCAGGATCTGTTGCCTCTGTGTGTGACTTTGTGCTCTGCTGGTAATGTACGTTGTGTAGCCGGTTGCGATCTCTGGGGACGCGGGCCACCGTTTGCGTGTGTGTCTCGCGTCCGATCTGTCCTTTGCTGGTTGTCATATGCAATTTATGCTTGGGATAGATCTCATGTGCCTCAGGTGCGCATGTGTGGGAATCAACAGGGTGCGCGCTCAAATAGAGCTGATACAAAACATCGTTAGAAGTGTCGGTGTGTGCTTCGTTAGTGTGCATTTGTGTTTACTCAGACTGTTTTTCTTTACATGTTCACTTGTGCTATCTATCGGGGATGTTGTATGTAATCAAACAAGAGTCACATGATCATAGAGTAGACTTTGGCTGATTTTACCTGGTATATGAAGTTTTTGTTTTTGTTTTCTTAATTACATAGTTTAAAATGTTATGTTGCAGGGTTTCAAGTAAGGAGGATGGAGGGAATAGCTCAATTCCGTGGGTGGTTTGATATCTCTCTTAGTCCTGAAGGAAGGGAGGGAGTCCTATTGGCTTGTCCTACGTTAAGATGTAAGGTAAGTACCAATCTGTCATCCGATAGACGATTGGTGATACGTTGTTCGGGGGCTTTGGGAACACTTGGTTGAGGGCCTTCCCATGACAGTCTCCTGTGGGAATTATAGTGCGAAGAAACTCTACTTCCCTGAAAGCGCAAAGATTTGAATATTATTTGCCGCTAGTAAGCAGAGGTTACACTCCCCTATTCTATTTTCCTCTCCCCTTTGTTCTCTTCTGTGCAGAACCCAGAAGTACCATGGCTTCTGACCTAGAGAGTAGCCTCACCTCCATAGACTGGCTCCCCCAGCTGACCCTTCGAGCTACCATTGAGAAGCTTGGGAGTGCCTCCCAGGCTGGGCCTCCAGGTGGCGGCCGCAAGTGCCCGCCGGGCTCACCCACAGATCCGAATGCCACCCTGAGCAAAGACGAGGCAGCTGTCCACCAGGATGGCAAACCACGGTACAGCTATGCCACCCTCATCACCTATGCCATCAACTCCTCTCCTGCCAAGAAGATGACCCTCAGCGAGATTTACCGCTGGATCTGTGACAACTTCCCCTATTACAAGAACGCTGGCATCGGTTGGAAGGTGGGATGGCTTCTGTAGCCTGCGCTTATTTTCAGCCCTTGACAACCTTTTCCTCGACTTTTGTTTCTTCCTATAACCTGGTCCGGTTCGCTCTGACCTGTTGCAGAGATGTGCGAACTTAAAAATCTTACCATTTCCCATCCCCTGCTCTTTTTCAGAGTTGAACAACTTTCATAAGGTATATCAGGGAAACTCCAAGGGATACCGAGGTACTGAGTGTAGTTATGAGGACGGCAGGATGCTTGTTGCTCGTCATACCCTCTTATCTTCTGAGTCCTCAAAAAGGAGATTCATTCATTTCACAAATGCTTATTGCCACGCTGCTATGTTCAAGTCACTGTGCAAGGCATGGCATTGCTCCTTCCTACCTAGAGGTAGGAGCCTCATCAGATTTCCAAAGCTTCATTGCATATAATCCTCCTCTTTTAAAGAATCCTATGCCACTAATAATAATAATAATAAGGTCCTTCACCAACACCTCATCCGCCAAGCAAGTCCTAAGAGGATAAGTTGTTTGGCTGGAGCTAAAGGAGGAAGGAAACTCCTCTTCCAGGCAGAGAAGGAAGACTGATGTTCTCAGTCTTTTGGAAGCGCAGCTCATCTGCCAATTGTTGAGTAGGACTGGGACTCTAACGCAGTTCTTTCGCTCTGCAAATCACCAGTTAATGTACAAACCAGATGATGAGCTGGAGACTATTAAAGGCGTTCAGGTTTTCCTTTATGAATATGCCCCCGGCACAAACCACAACCCCCAACCTCACCCAGCACACATAGGCAACGTGGCTTCTTTCCTCCAAATGTGAGCATTCCGTGGGTGGTTGAGAAAACAAAAGGTGGACCTGTGCCGTTGTTTTGCTCCTAATTTATGTTTTGTTTTTATTTACATAAACCGTTTTCAAGTGTTATTGTTTGACCACGGATAGAATGAATTAAGAAACTGGACAGACGTGATTTCAAAAAGCATTTTTTTTTAATGTTTATTTATTTTTGAGAGAGACAGAGGTCGCATGTGAGTGGGTTAGGGGCAGAGAGAGAGGGAGACACAGAATCCAAAGCAGGCTCCGAGCTGTCCGTACAGAGCCCGACGCGGGGCTCAAACCCACGAACTGGGAGATCATGACCTGAGCTGAAGTCGGACATTCAACCGACTGAGCCACGCAGGCCCCCCTGGACAGATGTGATTTTGAGGCGTTTATACGCCTATTTTCAGTTGGGTGGAAAGATTGAAAAACTACATAATCAGATTATATACTTCTTTTATATACTGGAAGCACCTGGTGGTCAAGTTTATAGCCATTACCTCCCATCAGTTTAATTTCTGCATTTTCGTGTCTCATTGCTCTTGCTGTCTAGTAGGTAAGTTCCTCCATCAGTAAAGAGGTGCTCAGTTTGCTTGGTACTTGAACTTTATTGTGTGTTATGTCCTTTGGTGTCCCTCTGTGTCCTATTGGAAAATTTTCTGCTTTACACAATGCTCAAAGCTAACTTGCTTCTCTGTTTCCCTAGAATTCAATTCGGCACAACCTTTCTCTCAACAAGTGTTTCCGGAAGGTGCCCAGACCTCGGGATGACCCTGGGAAGGTGAGACACTCCTGTAAGCATTGAAAGAAGGGGCAGGAAGGAGAGAGGAGTAGTTGACAGCCCCGAGTCCTGTGGCTGTTTTAATTATCCAGAAGAGGAAATCCTGTTAATTAGAGAAGCAGCTCTATTTTTTCTCAAAGGAACAGCGTGGCTATCAAGCTTGTGGGCCTCCACTAGCATGAGTGATTAAGAAAGACGCTGAAGGGAGCGCCTGGGTGGCTCAGTTGGTTGAGCGTCCAACTTCGGCTCAGGTCATGATCTCACGGTTCATGAGTTCGAGCCCCACGTCGGGCTCTGTGAGGACAGCTGGGAGCCTGGAGCCTGCTTCGGATTCTGTGTCTCCCTCTCTTTCTCTGCCCCTCCCCAGCTTGCACTCTGTCTCTCCCTCTCTCAAAAATAAATAAACATTAACAACAACAACAAAAAAAAATTAAAAAAAAAAAAGAAAAATGGTGAAATCTTATTTTTAAATAGACTTATTTATGGTAAAGTTGACTTTAATGCTGTCTTTTTTAATGTGTGGTACTCTTTCTAGATGTAAAAGGTGGACTTCAGAACCTTTGTAGGAACTTTTCTGTACAAAAATCCCATGACTTTTATCTTTAAAGGGGAAAAGAGATAGACCAGTTTCTTCATTGGATCAATGTGGACACTAGAGTTCAGGAGAGCCTTGCCTCAGATCACACAGAAGGGAAGGGTTGTGTCTGGACATTTCCAGCTCTTTGAACTAGATACCAATGTTTTGGCCCTCCAGAACAATCCAGGCCTATGTTTGGACCACTGGGCATACCTCTGACATACTCGTTGGGCTTTTAGGACATATTTACTCCTCAAAAATAGCCAGTTCCCTCAGGATTCTGTGTGGTTCTCCATTTCTTTTCCTTTTGCTTTTCTTTTTTTCAAAAATTTTTTTAAACGTTTATTCATTTTTGAGAGACAGACAGAGACAGAACATGACCAGGAAGGGGCAGAGAGAGAGGGAGACTCAGAATCTGAAGCAGGCTCCAGGCTCTGAGCTGTCAGCACAGAGCCCGACGCAGAGCTCGAACTCACGAACTGCGAGATCATGACCTGAGCTGAAGTCGGACGCTCAACCGACTGAGCCACCCAGGTGCCCCTCCTTTTTCTTTTCTTTTTTTTTTTTTAAGTTTATTTAATTATTTTGAGACAGAGCGTGAGAGGGAGAGAGAGAATCCCAAGCAGGCTCCACACTGTGAGCACAGAGCCCAATGCAGGGCTTGAACTCAAAACCCTGAGATCACGACCTGAGGCGAAACCAAGAGTCGGACGCTTAACTGACTGAGCCACCCAGATACCCCTCTCCGGTTATTTTTCTTAGTATGACTTATTTGTTGGTGAAAATTCTCCCAAATATCTGCTTTACCAAAGGTGGGAATTTCCGTGTGTAATGATTTTGTTTTCTGTGGGGATGGGTTCTCCTTCCAGGGCTCTTACTGGACGATCGACACCTGCCCTGACATCTCCCGGAAGAGAAGACACCCTCCAGATGATGATGTAAGTCCCCACCTCGTGGGGAGGGGCTGCTTCTGCTCCACCTGCTCCTTCCGCATCCTTTCCCGTATTTTCAGTCCTTTTCTATGTTTGGGGCAAAGGAGGAATGCCCGCAGAGGTGAAACCATGGGTCTTGGGAGGATGTTTAGTTTCTACGTATAGATTTTGTTCTTTCACAATCCTTAGCTATCTCAAGACTCGCCAGAACAGGAGGCAAGCAAGAGCCCACGGGGAGGCGTTCCAGGGAGTGGAGAAGCCTCACTGCCTTCCGAGGGGAATCCTCAGATGTCCCTTCAGAGCCCCACATCTATCACCAGCTACAGCCAGGTAAGAAGTAGAGGTGTCAGGTGCCTAGGGATGCGTGGATGGGGGCGGGGGACAGTTGACTGGTTTCATACATCTGCCAGTTCAAAACTATGTATTGGGGATTTGCGATGCAGTAGGAGATAAATTGGGAAGGGAGGGGAAAGCACAAGAGGGAAGCTGAGAGGTAGACGTAACAGAACGTGGAGAGTGATCAGGGGGAATAAAGTGGTAAGAAGAGAAGAGGAGCCAGAAGGTTAGGAGAAGGGAAGATGGATGGAACATAAGAAAAGGGCTAGAGGTAATCGTGGTAGGAATAAATGAGACAGAAGGAGAAAATGACGTTCATTCACGGAAAAGTCAGGAGAGGATGACGGCAAGCCAGAGAGCTTGGTGACCATTCAAGGGCTGTTTTGGTCCTTATTTAGGACACGCATCAAGTCTTTCTTACTCCTTTTTGCAGGGCACAGGATCTGTGGATGGCGGAGCAGTGGCAGCCGGGGCTCCAGGCCGAGAAAGCGCGGAGGGTCCCCCTCCCCTGTATAATACCAACCATGACTTCAAGTTCTCCTACTCAGAGATCAATTTTCAGGATCTAAGTTGGTCCTTTCGCAACCTCTACAAATCCATGCTGGAGAAATCTTCCTCCTCTCAGCATGGTGAGTCTGCACTTGGGATGAGAGCATGAACATCTTCTGCTTATACTTGTACTTCTGAATGGGTGGTGACGTTCTCTTCTCTCCCATCTGTCTTATTTTTTTTTTTTTTTAATGTTTCTTTATTTTTGAGAAAGAGACAGAACATGAGCGGGGGAGGGGCAGAGGGAGAGGGAGACGCAGAATCCGAACCAGGCTCCGGGCTCTGAGCTGTCAGCACAGAGCCCGATGCGGGGCTCGAACTCACGGACTGTGAGATCATGACCTGAGCTAAAATTGGACGTTTAAGTGACTGACCCACCCAGGCACTCCTTTTTAGTTTTTTAAAAAATGTTTATTTTTGAGAGAGAAAGAGCATGCAAGTTGGGAAGGGGCAGAGAGACAGGGAGACAGAAGATCTGAAGCGGGCTCTGTGCTGACAGCAGGGAGTCCTGTGTGGGGCTTGAACTCACCTGAGCCAAAGCCTGATGCTTAACCAACTGAGGCACCCTGGTGTCCCTTTTTCAACGTTTTAATGTCTATTTATTTATTCTGAGAGAGAGAGAGAGAGAGCGCAAGCATGAGAAGCAGGAGGGACAGAGAGAGAGGGAGAAAGAGAATCTCAAGCAGGCTCTGTGCTGCCAGCACAGAACCCTACATGGGGCTCGATTTCATGAACTGGGAGATCGTGACCTGAGAGCCGAAATGAAGAGTTGGACGCTTAATCCGCTGGGCCACCCAGGCGCCCTGGCCTTTTATCTTCTTTTTAACCCAAGGGGAGGGTGGTCACTGGTCAGGGGAAGCATCTCATAAAATAAAATTGTTTGTGGAGTCCAGCTCTTCTGGCTTAGTTCTGAAGGACAGCCGTTTCAAGAGGCAGGCTAGGTTATTAGCTTCAGAAAGTGAGTTGGAGGGATTCCCCCTTTCCAGAACGAAGGGCAGTGACTTTATGGCTGAACGCAGGTCATTTAGAGGATGGCCACGAGGGGGCAGCAGTGGTATCCTTACCCTCAGAACTCCTGCTATGTTGTGAGACAATTTTTTAGCATTTTTATATTTATGTCGGTTTTTAGCAGGAAAAATCTCAAACATTTGCAAAACTAGAGAAAACTGTATAATGAACCCTTACGTTTCCAACTTTAACACAGCCCAGTTTTAACAGCTACCAATATATTTTTTTAGTTAATTTATTTATTAAAACATTTTTTTTTAAGGTTCTTTATTCATTTGAGAGAGAGAGGGGGCACAAGCAGGGGAGGGGCAGAGAGGACAGACAGCATCTGAAGCAGATTCTGTGCCATCAGCGCAGAACTGTGAGTTCACGACCGCAGAACTGTGAGTTCACGACCGCAGAACTGTGAGTTCACAGCTGAGATCAAGAGTTGAACGCTTAAGCAACTGAACTACCCAGACACCCCTGTTTATTTTTGAGAGCGAGAGAGTGCGCGTGTGTGAGCTAGAGAGAGGCAGAGAGAGAGGGAGGGAGAGAATCCCAAACAGGCTCCATGCCTGTCAGCAACCACAAACCATGAGATCATGACCTGAGCCGAAACCAAGAGTCAG